TACCAAAGGTGATGTCTAGATTATTGATGACAAAATCAAAAAAGGCAAAGGCTATGTATACTTAATTTCAAATCAATCCAGATACCTAAAACTAATCAAATGATTACCGTAAGAAAATAAGTTTTTTGAAATTGAAATTGTCGATTGAGTTTGCTTCAAAAGCAAGAGTAAGTTGATAACTATCATATGTAACTACAAAGGAAGAAAAAAGGCCCCCGTGGAGTTTGTAAAATTAGATTTTTTTTATTTATTATTTTATACATGTTTTGCATTGGATTACTATTTAGATGGAAAAAAATAAATTTAATAGGTAATCGGTTCGGTTCGGGGCAACGGCGTAAATACATACCCGCACCGTCTCGAACCGGGTCATTAAAATCAAATACCATATTCGCCCCATTGCACCATCCATTCGATTTTTTTCGCCTCGTTCGGCTCGATTAACTGCGATTTTCGATTTTGACGATTCAAATTACCATCCCTAGAGAAATGGTATTTATAATCTTAGCCTTTGTTTGAGCACCATTTTGTTGGCAGAAAAAGTATTTTGTAATAATGATTTTTCGGAGAATGTGTAGTTAAAAAGTAAGAAAAAATTTTATATTTACATATAAAATTGTATGTAAATTGAAAAATTTTCCTTATTTTTTTAACTACACATTCTCCATCTTAACACTATTATAAAATACATTTTTCGAAAAAAGGGAGCTTAGACAACCCCCATATATACACACACACATATACATTACTAACACAAAGTTTTCATTTACAAGACGTGTAAGAATTACATTTATCAACTAGCAGGACAAAATTTGTTCATTTTGCCCATGCTACTATCTTGTTTAGGGTTGACAACGGTTCGATTATGGGTCGACTCGGTTAAAATCATAACCGCATCACTAATTTTTTGATCATACCATAACCGCACCATAACCACGTAAATCGGTTCGGTTCGGTTCGGTTCGTATCTCGGTTCGGCATGGATCGGTTCGGTTAATAACCACGAAAATAAATTATTTTTTATAAATTCAACCGTCAAATTGATATAAAATAATTTATGAAAAAAGTCAATAAAAACAAAATACAATATTCCAAATGAAAATGCAAACATTATCAAACAATATTCCAAACGAAAATGCAAATATTATCCCAATTTCAATTGTAAAATACAAATTTAACAAACAATATTATAAATATAATAATACTAAACTTTTCCTTCATTCTTAATTATCGTGCATTGAAATTACTTGATTCATTATTCCCCACAAGTCTTACTAGTATAGATCAACACTCAAAGTTGATTTTTATATAGTAAATAAGAAATATAAGTAGAGAATACAACGATACTACATATTTCAGAATGATCTTAACTAAGATTTAAATAATAAAATGTACTTCTTCGTTAGCTTCTTTCTCGCTAAACGTTGCACAAACTCTAGAGTATGATGAAGAAGTAAAATTTTTTACACACAATAAAAAAAATGAACAATAAAAGGAGTCGTGCATGAGTTTGCGATTTTTGAAGAGTAGGGTTTGCATTTATATATTGTCATACTAATGCTATTATTATGGGGTAATGGTAAATGGGTTGGCCGGCTGAATCATATAGATGTAATTGGGGGGTCGGGGGGGGGGGGAAATTTTGTTTTGGGCTAGATAGAAAAGTAGTGTAAATTTCAATAATCAATGCAATTTTTTTTTAGCGGGTAATCGGTTCGATTTCGGTTCGACGAAGTAAATACCATACCCGCACCGCCACGAACCGGTTCATTAATATAAATACCATATCCGTCCCATTGCATCATCGATTCAATTTTTTTCGCCCCATTCGGTTCGGTTAACCGCGATTTTCGATTTTGTCTGTTCTAATTACCATCTCTAATCTTGTTTATACCTTCATTGGCAACACCTGAGAAAACATTAAAGGCTTATTCGATAATGATTTTTAGAATTGATTTTTTGACCGTTAGAGAGAAGAGTGAATCTTACATGTAAGATAAAAAATAAAAAAATTAAGGCTTGAATAGTGAAATAACGATTAAAAAATTAATTTTTTGGAATGAAAAAACAATACAAAATATGCATTAACTGTGACCGTCTTTTAGATGGAAAAAGACTCCAATGCCCAGACATTATGTGTAATGTAATAAATTTCTTTTTCAATTGGGCAAGATGGCTAAGTGGACTAAAACATTGGATTGCTAATCCGTTGTACGAGTTATTCGTTCCAAAGTTTGAATTCCTCTTTCTCTGGCTCCGTTGATGTCCTGATTTATTTATTTATTTTTTCAAATTTTTGAAATCTTAGTTAAATGTATGGAATAGATAAAATCCTAAGAAAATTTGAAAATTAACTAAGGAAAAACCCTTTAAATTTTACTCTTCACATCCAGAATTATGTCCTTAATCATTAGATAGGAATCCAAAGATTTTTTTTTTTTTTTTTTTTTTTTTTGAAACAAAAAATATCACTACAGTATAAACGAAGATCATATAAACTTAACATATTCCCACAAGCCTATCTAAGAAAATAGAAGATTTGTCAACGCTACTTGTTGATTTTTGCTTCCAAGCTATCTTGAATTGCGTTGAAGGATCTCATTAACTAGTAGATTGATGTCGTTTCCCCTGGCCTGCATGAGATATAATATCGTCAAAAGTACAATACACTGGGAAAAGAGGATAGAGATAGACAAATCATGTGTAATCACTTACCTTTATTCCAATAGAAATTGACCTTTTTAGCTTGACCAGCTCACCTAATCTTAAAGAACCTTCTTTATTATCTTTGATGACGATGAGTGGCACATTTCTTGAAGCAGCCAGAGCTGGTAGACATTTTGTCAATGAGCGTGGAGTGCCATCATATGCTAACAGTACTGCCTACATTCATAACAAAATAAGAATCAATCCACACGTAGATTACGAAGATGCTAATAACAGTCAAACTATTAAGTTTTCAAGATATAAAATACTTAATTTTATGTCTTCGATAATGGGCATTATATGTTCATACACAGGACTTCATTCACATGACAAGGGCAGGTAAATGGAGAACCCATTAACTGTTCTCATCATCTGGCAACTTGATCAAATAAAGAGAGCAATAAACTTCTATCCTCAAAATGTAAGAAACAAGCCTTGAGAACAGGTTTTCACACAGTTTCTCCTAAGCACATCCACAGATCTAACAGGGTCTAGAAGATTAATCAAGTTATTCAAGTTAGACAAGAAAATGCAACAAACCGAAATGATCATCAGGCTTCAAGAGTTTATGCACCAAGTTTTGTTATCTTTCTAGTTCACATTTTAGAGTGAATTACGAATCTGTTATATAAATGTCAGTACTATACTGCTAGAAACATCAGTCAAACCATTTCTGCCAATAATTCATAATACTAAACCGAATTCGACGTTGTGTTTGTGTATTTGGATATCTAGGATTTATACATGTATTGTTATCATGTGATGCACTTGAATTATTAAGCCCCCGTTTGGCCCCCATTAATTATGATTATAATGGGAAGAATAGTTTTTTTTTTTTTTTTTGGAAAAATGGATGGTTGTAAAAAAAAAATGAATTATTTTTTTATTTACGTGTAATAATATTTTATTGAGCATTGTGTGGTTAAAAATAAGAGAGAGAAATTTAATTTAATTTGATGAGATGTAATACGGGTCAAACTGGGGCTAAATACACGCAAGTACATTCTTATACTTTCTATATGTGTGTAACATCCTACGGGGGCAAGTAAACTCATGTTTGCTACGTACATGAATATCCTAGACAAAGCATGTAATAATTTATTGATACATGTCCAAGGTTAGCTCAAGCTTCTAATGCACCTTTAGAAAGGAAATCACTATTAAGGACAATTTTCTTAAGGAAACAATCAAATAGTTGATGAAACTTATTAAAGAAAGAACCCTGCCTCGAGAAATCACAAGTGAGTCTATTATGTCTGCAGGAATGTCTTCTTCCAGTTTATGTGCAGCTTACACATTGCCCTGCTACTCTCAGGAACCTTTAAAATATAATCATGTACCGCCTAGCAATTTTCTTGAAGGTTAATCCAATGAATCAAAGTAAAGTTTTGTTTCGAGTCAACCTAGCCCCTGTTGGAAATACTTTCAAGTTCCAGTTCCCTACAACTAGCTCTTGCAATGCAATTTGGAATGAAAATATAAAGGCTTTCAATTAACGAGACACTCCTGAAGCTGTCAAAAAGAATGTAATTGTTCAATTAACTTCAGTCAGGTGGATGACAGTGAAAAATAAGTAACCTGAAGTTGAACGGAAGGTGCTTTTCTAACATCACTCTTGCTGGATTTCAGAAGATGGTCCGAGGAACAACTTTCAGTCCCAAGATTTGATGGCATCCGTTCAAGCACACGCGTAACCTCATTCACCCCGATTGAAAATTGTTGCTGATAAATCACAAATAGATTCATCCAAGATTAATCAAAGGGGGGAAAGAAAATTAAAAAGAACAAAAAACAGAGAGCAGTACATAAGACAAAATTTATCTGCAAGAGGAATAGATACAAATGAACCTTAAGCCAAAATTTATCAGGCAAAGCTGCGTTCAAGGCTCCTTTTGATTCAATCTGGCTGCTCAAACAAACAATCACAAAGTCACCCTTGATTTTAACATTCTGTAAAATACATTAGTAATTATGTAGTTAAATATAATTAAAAGCGTTCGCAACTGTACCTCTGGATAGATTTGCGAAGACGAGCAAGGTCTTCACCTTCAAAGCAACTGCTAATTACGTAAGCATAAATTTAGTTTACAATCAATTACGAATTTACGATAACGAAACACGCAAAAGCAAACACAAACACGAACACAAACACACACACTCAGAGTATAACGAAGTGACATACAATTGACTTTCCAACGGATTTCCAATGGAATTGGAGAGGGCTCCTTGGTTGGATTCCCGGGTGCTTCGTTTTCTGCTTCGCATCTTTGAATTTCTTCTAATGGATTAATTTGGTATCTCTCGATTGAACTCTCGGAAGGCTTAAACCCTGATTACTCTAATTTAGGTATTTAAACCCTGTTCACGCCTCCAATGGGTCGGACCCCATTCATATCCAGTTTTCCGCGAGGAATTAAAAATGGCCATTGACCGGCATTTAAAAAAAAAAAAAAACAAAGAAGCAAAATGTTTAAAATTTTATAACTTTCCATTTATACCCTCATACTGTGGAGAAGAGAGAAAAGATTGAAAATTTACTGTAGAGGTATCGATGCCTAGACGCTGATAAACACCAAGAAATCGACGATCCAGACCGGAGAATTTCAAGTGAGTTGCTTGAAACCATTATATACAATTAATTTTTGAAATAAGGCATACTTATTCTCGAATTTGTTGAAAAACGTATGCAAAAAATGTTGGTATGCGATGGCACATGCTCTTGGTATAGATTTAGGCGGCGAAGATCACTTATAGGTTTAGCTCCGCCATGTCCAGTCGCTTGCGATTATATAGGCAACATTGCGAGTCAGAGTCTAGATCCAGACGATGAAATCCAGATGACTGGGCTTAGCGTCTGGGCACTTTTTTATTATAAATTTAATTTAATTTGTTTATTTAAATAATAATTTTAATTGTTTATTTATGTTACTTTAATTAATATTTAATTATTTATGTGTTAAATATTTAATTATTTAGTTTATTTAAATATTTTATGAATTATGTTAATTGTTTATATATATTGTTTATTTAAGTAAATAATAAATAACTAACTTAAATAAATTAAATAAATATGAAAAAAACAATTTAAATAACTAATTGAAATAAATTAAATAAACATGTAAATTATATATTATTTAAAAATTTAAAATAAATAATTAAATATTAAATAAATAATATACATAACTAATTAAAATAATTATGAAATATTTAAATAAATAAGTAAATTAAATATTAACTAAACAATTAAAATAAGTAATTAAAATATAAAAAAATTAAAAAACTAATTAGATATTAAGTAAATAATATAAGCAAATAATTAAAATATTTAATTAAATAACTTATTAAATATTAAATAAATAATATACATAACCAATTAAAATAATTAATAAAATATCTAGATAAACAAGTAAATTAAATATTAATTAAACAATTAAAATAAGTAATTAAAATATAAATAATTAAATAACTAATTAAAATTAAGTAAATAATAATCGAAACCACATAAAATAATTAATGAAATATTTAAATAAACAAGTAAATTAAATATTAATTAAACAATTAAAATAAGTAATTAAAATATAATTAATTAAATAGCTAATTAAAAATTAAGTAAATAATATACATAAACAAATAAAATAATTAACGAAATATTTAACTAAAAATTTAAATTAAATATTACATAAACGATTAAAATAAGCAATTTAATTATATAATATTTCTTTACGTTCATTTCTTTTATTCCATTATCTGTTGATTCTCGTATATAGTAGTTATAGTTCAGTTAATTTAATTTTTCAATATTATGCTTCATCCATTATCTCTTGCACGAGGTTCTAACATTTGAAATTTTGTCGAATGGAATACCATTTGGATGATGTCATCAGACAGATCTCAGACAAAAAGTTACGTCGAACTGTAATTTTGCTAGCTTTATAGTGGTATTAGATTTGCTCGATGAGGAACACGTAGGTATATTGCGTCGATCTTGCTTATGGCCCCTATATTCGTTGCGTGACGTATAGTTTTCTGGGTAGTTGCTCGATGCATTGTTATGTCGGCTACTTAAGCAAGTTGACAGAAAAGCCCTCCGTTTTGATTTGGAGGGCAAGGTAGCTATGTTCTATATATTCGAATTTGCCCTCATCATCGGATTTAGATGTACGAGCGAAGAAGGAGAAACAGGATGTTGCTAAATGAATATTTTCATGGACCAATGACAATGACTCTAGTGTAGTTGGGAGAAGCATTCAGGGAGTGAGACTAGATGTCAGACAAGTTGAAGTGGGCTTGGCGCTTATTCCCTATATTCGTTGCGTGACGTATAGTTTTCTGGGTAGTTGCTCGATGCATTGTTATGTCGGCTACTTAAGCAAGTTGACAGAAATGCCCTCCGTTTTGATTTGGAGGGCAAGGTAGCTATGTTCTATATATTCGAATTTGCCCTCATCATCGGATTTAGATGTACGAGCGAAGAAGCAGTGATGACCCGTATCTCGAGAAACAGGATGTTGCTAAATGAATATTTTCATGGACCAATGACAATGACTCTAGTGTAGTTGGGAGAAGCATTCAGGGAGTGAGACTAGATGTCAGACAAGTTGAAGTGGGCTTGGCGCTTATTTTTGAGAGCGTACTCAGGTGTCATCACAAGAAGATGTCGATTGACGATTTTAATTTGGAGGTTGTTGATGACATTGATATCTTCAACAATCCATGGGGATAACATAATGCGTCTTTAGGAGAGGTTTTCGATGCTTAAAGGGAGTAGGCCTGAGCGCAAGTACGATGCATATGACCTACCGTTAGCTTTGCTGGTAAATGCTTAACATAATGAATTATCTAATTTTTTTTATTAAAATTTATATATAATAATTGTAATTGTTGCAGATATGGGTGTATGAGATTGTCCCCATCTTATCTAGCCGATATACGAAGAGAGGAGAGACATGCTGCCCTCAAATGCATCACTAGCGAGCACAAAACAAGCCACCTCCCAAATAATTATCAACTCTCCTCTACGATCATGAGGTACGTAATATGCATTTGCGATTTATGTTATATGTCATTTCGAAATCTTGATACATGGTAATTAATTCGGTGAAATGTCAATATGTCAGTTTGAAGTCCTCACCGAGTTAACACCGTCGATCGAGGAAGAGGTTCAGAGTTATCTTCGTGGATAGTCTATTCTGGCTGCGTCAGACAATTAGATGCATGATTCAGGCTTGGATCGAGATAGGATTTGTTAATTCAATATAATTTGTTGAATGTCGTTTTGAATTTTTTAATTAAGTTATTCATTTTTTAAAAAGCATCGTCTAGTATCACCTCCGCCGAGAAGATCACCTCCTACAGGTAGTCGCAGTGCTTCAACGGATGATTTGTTCAAACTCTTGACTGCATTTATGAGGGAGATGAGAAGAGACATGGTAGAGTTACTGTAACACCCTGAATTCTTGGAACCCAAAGCGTCAAAAGTAATCGATCTTTCTTTGGTTCGACCTCTTTGATGCTAACCAAAGTAATTTGTAAACTACAAAGTTTTTGGGTTTTGAAAATATATAAAAATATAATGAGAAGTAGTTATTCATATAAACTTATAAAATTATGGCGAAATTTGGTTTTGGAAAACATTTGGAGGTGATTCAACAATTTCGGATTGAACAACAGTGGAAGAAAAATATATTTGGCCTAACAAATGTTTGTTAAAATTTAATGAAATTTTTACAGGGACTAAAGTATTCATATATGTACCACATATATAAATTTGGGGGCATGATGATAACGATTGAAGGATGAAAATATTGCTCGAACATGCGGGACAGAAAACTCGGATTTGAAACAACGCAGTTTACCAAATTCGACATAACTTTTTTCTCTATATAATGTTTTAAGGAAATTCCAAAGGCTACTATTAGAAGACTCGTAGACCTTTCAAACACCATTGATTTCACTCTAAAATATGCTACGTAACCCAAATTATACCATTTTCAAATGGAAGATAGAATATGGAATTATAATCAGTAGTGAATACATAACAACGTTTCCAAATTATGGTTGACATGAATATCATATAAAACTAAACGAAAAAGATGTTTAAACGTCTTTAAAAGTACCGTCTAATTATTCATAATATATAGACATAAACCGGAAATTTTACTAGAAAGTTGAAAGCTTTTCAAATTGTTGAGCACTTGCCACTATTCCAAATCGTCGCCATGCCTCAAATCAACCTGTGAGATTGTAGTGGGTGTGAGTATTACGAATAATACTCAGTAGAAAGACACTAGAGTAAATGATAAAATACATATATATTTTCAGAAATACAAAATTTGATTATTTGTGTCATCGTCAATTTCTTTCTCTTAGTTTGAACCACTAAAGGATGCTTCATTCATGAGTAACACAGTAATAGTGTCACTTTCCATCTCTTTCTCTTATTTGAGCCACCAAACAGTGTTTTATTCATGAGTGACACAACAATAAGTTTGATACAAAACAAAAACAAATAATTCTTAAACCACTTACACAAGTGTCGAGATCACCCCTACCTTAATGCTTGAAGTTTGAATACCCTTTTGTGTTCAATATGTAAAACTTTAGCGTACTCTTTGCCTCCTCTTTAGAAAAATTTCAGATTCAAAGTGCCTTAAGCTATGGAAAAGGGGCAAAACAATTTTATGCATATGTGTAAATGACTTGGAAGAAATGAAATGTAAAATCCAATTGGCCTTTAAAAAAAATGTTGGCAGCTCTTCATTGAACATTTAAGAGAATAATTGTTTAGGTTTCATTTCAATGTATTTTATGTGAGAAATAAATGCAAAGTCTTTTGGCATTTCATAACTTTTGACATTTTAAAATTTTTTTATTATATAGGAAGAATGAGAATTGTGGGAACTAATATCTTGTATATAAGAATTTCACACCATTGTACTTAGAGATGGCAATTTGAACCGTCAAAATCGAAAATCGCGGTTAACCGAATCGAATGGGGCATCCACAAATCACAAACTCACGCACAGCTCCACTGCCTCTACGGTCCAACTCGTCGTCACCTCTAAAAATTTGTTACATTTGTTAGCCATTCTATTACTGCTGATCATGTAAAAATAGAGTTCGATGTTATTCTAGACGTGCTAGTATGAATAGGAATCAACTTTGAATGCTGATCTATACTAGTAAGACTTGTAGGGAAGAATGAATCAAGTAACTTCGATGCACAACAATTAAGAATGAAGAAAAAGTTTAGTATTATTAAATTTATAATATTGTTTGTTAAATTTGTATTTTACAATTGAAAATTAGGATAATGTTTGCATTTACATTTGGAATATTGTTTGATAATGTTTGCATTTTCGTTTGGAATATTGTGTTTTTGTTTTCATTGACTTTTTTCATAAATTGTTTTATATCAATTTGACGGATGAACCTATAAAAAATAATTTATTTTCGTGGTTATTAACCGAATTGAACCGTGTCGAACCGAGACACGAACCGAATCGAACCGATTTACGTGGTTATGGTGCGGTTATGGTATGGTCCAAAATTGATGGTGCGGTTATGATTTTGACCAAATCGACCCATAACTGAACTGTTGCCAACCCTATTTGTACTAGATCCACGTGAATTTTATTTCAAATGAAAATCTTCAAAAAAATTTCGAATTCTACAAAAGTCTATAAAAATTTTAAAATGAAAGACTACGAAAAACTTCAACTAATTTCATGCAAGTCTATAAAAGATTTATGAAATTCACAAAAATCATCACTTAAAAAGAGTCTACCAAAATTTTTAAAAGTCCCAATTGAATACACCGTTTGACCCAAGGGCTCCCCAAGGTGTCTCGAACCCTAACATCTTGAAATCCATTTCTCCAAAATCTCACGCAAAGGCTTTACGTTCCAAGAAGAAAGGAGAGAAGATGTTGAAGAAGACTTCCATGGCGGTTCCATCCTTTCGGATCTTCGTCTCCCCTTTGCGCTTGGTGTGTGAGTTTTTTCACCTTGCATTATTTATTATACCAGAATAAGTGTCTGGTCTGATTTTTTTTTTTTAAATTTTTCTTGGGAAAAATATCTATTTTTCATTGGATTTGAGTTTGATTCTATACTTACCCATTTGATTTCAACTCAAGATCATTTTTTAAGTTTAAAATTTATACCCAAAAAATTCTATTGTTATTTACCATCGATTTCCAGAATCTAGGTTTATTTATTTATTTAATTGGGGGGTTGTTTATTGAAGCTTAATGCTTCTTTAATTGATATTATACGTAAATGGTATCTAAGCTCTGGGTTCTTGTAATGTAATGTAATGTAAAACCCATATGAATTTTAAGTCAATTTATTTATGTGAATTATGTGGTGGTGGGCGTTTAATTTATTCTGAAATTCATGTCAGTAAACTATATGAAACGGATACAATGATCTGGAATTTTGTATACGGTTCTTATTTTTGGACAGAATGGCAAGACTTGTAGATCGTGGTAGTTCTACTCAGCAATCGTTGTCGCAGTGCCAGCACCTGCTAAGTTAGCTAGGAACATCAATGACAATACCTATTATGTGGCTGGAATTTGAGAAACGCATGGAGGTCGCTAAGAAGACCGAAAATGAAAGATGGCTATTCTTTTGTTGTAGTAATGATTGCAGTCATTTCAAGTGGAACGACGTTTCGTTTGGTGGAATTAAACATGTGCAACTTGATTGTGAGTCCAATGGTGAGTCATGATATACTTGTTTGGGTAGCTCTCATCCCAAGTATCCAATTGAAGATTTTTCCCATGTATTGAAGAATTTGGTTCGCATAATCGCTATGAATATGTGGAAATCTCATCAAGTTTTTTCTAATTACACTTTTATATGCATTCGAACATTGTAGCCTTTAGCTTTGCACTATATAATAATAATAATATGTTTTGGTTGGACCTCCTTCCAGGCTCCATTAGGTGACAAAGCTTTTGTACAAGATATGGAGTGAAGATCGTTTAAAAACACTTGATTTGTAGTTCCCAATAGTTCTCCATCAAGGGAATTCTTAATTGGTAGGTACATGTACGATTTATTGTTAAAAACAACAAAAATATTAATCCATAACCATTTAGTTAATTGGTTACTTAAGTCTCTACGGAGTTGCAATCAATATTTCTTTGTGGTTGACCATGATGCAAGAGCACAAGGATACAAGAGAATCTAGATTTTAATTAGTTGCAGTTATTTAACCACTGTCCAAACTTGATCAATAAAAATAACAATTGTATCACATGCATAATATCTTATATTAACAATCAAACTAAGTTGTTCCCCTATTTTAAGTAGTCCTGCCTTGATAACTCATTGGCACAAACTTCTGGCTAATTTCCACCAAGCACCATATGCAAAAGCAGAAGGCCTAAAACACATTTCCCATAAAACAAAAACTCCAAAGTCATAAATTCATAATTTAATGTTGCTATTAGTTATTCCTTAAGGAATGTTTTTCAGCTGCTGTCGATAGCTTCAGGAGGCATCGTTTTCATGCCCAATCGTCTCAAGTTCTACATTCTTTCAGTTGACCAAAACATATACTGCTTCAATATCATCCGAAAAAGCTACCTTAATTACTTGAAATCTAGGCAAATATTTCTCATCATATTGTGAGACCAAATTACTCTTGCTCCTTGTCCAAGAGTGTCCAACATTATCACATTATCTGAGGAAGGTGTTGAATTCAAATGTTGTAAACTGCAATCAGTACTAGATTCCAAACAATTAATTATGCTAGAACGTTTTTCTACCAATTATAGCATCCACAAATATGCAATCTGTGTTGTTAGACTTCCCATCATCCTGAGATGAATTAATGTGTTTTTTTGCACTCAATTCTTCAGTGTACAATCCATCAAGCCAACATCGAAGAAATTCATGACTGTTGTGCTACTGAAATCCCCTAAATTGGAGAGACTTGGAACGAACACTACCAAGATCTTGAATTTATCACACTTCTTATACAACTTCTGGGTTGGTTTCAAGGAAAAGCTTTCTCGGAGTAGCAATAAGAGGACTAAGAGATTCTAAGATTCATCTAATTAAAAAAAGTAATCCGATAATTTATTTATAGCCAATAAATTCTGTATATTTGAATTAAAGAAATGTGTATTTCCCAAATTAACAATACCTCAACTGAATAATTGTTACTTCCATGTGAACCAATCGACAAAGAGTGCTCTTTTATTCCACTAGTCACACTGCTGATCCAGAATTCCACACCTCCACAGGAGAAATTTCCACATTCCAAACAAACCCAAATAATTTTAGACTCCGATTTTGAAGTGGTTTTGTGATTGAGAGTATCTTGCACCTCTGTCCAATGGCTACGTGTTTGGATATTGCGCGGAGAACAGATTTTAATCCCTTGATCTGAGCTAGGTGGACGATGAAGACAATTGATCTGAGCTAGGAGGACGATGAAGACAAGGAACGAGATATGACGAGGAAGAAGGCGCCTTTCAATTCACAGTTGGGAAAGGCATGTTTGGTATTGTTGATGTGGAGCTTATTTGGCACTTCGTTCAATATTTAACAAGCCACCTCACTTTTCCATCTGCCATGTCAACTAATCTACTAACGGATTCTATTTGGTGTGTGATGGAGTAAGATGGAGCAAAGTTTAGTAGCCAATGAGACGCTTCATGAGGTTTGGTGAGTTAATCGTGACATAGTGCAAAGTTTAGTAACTGTTGAAACATTAACTCAAATAGTTATCCACTATAGCTATACCCTTAACTCTTCCAATTAGATCCAAATTTATAGCATAATCTTTGAGGGGAAAGATAATAATTTTCCTTATTGTCATCCACTCTATTATCTACATATATAAAACCAAAAATAAAAATTCATGATCAGAATGATAATTATGTGCAAGAACTTTATAGGAAAATAGCTTGATTGAAGAAAGGATATTTAGTAAAGACTATATTGTCTCAAACAAATGATGGAAAAGAGGTCAAACAATTTATGCCTCCATGGAAAGTTAGACTGAGCACGACTCAAGTAAGAAAGAAAATGTTTACCTACTTCCATTATACCCACTTATGAATGAAAGGTGGCCGAGTTGGTGGAGTAGGTGAACACGTAGGCCTTTGGTCACGAGTTCAATTTCCCCTATCAACACTTGCTCGGTTGAGCCCATCTCATCGGGCTTGCCTATTACGGTTTACCTGGCTGGCGTGGTTTGTAGGCTATTCGTCAGCACAAGGTTTATCAAGTGCGCACTCAAAGGGTAGCGACTGCGAATTCTCCCGTCATAAAAAAAGAAGAAGTAAGGATCTATTTATTGAATGATGTGAAACTATCAATCAATGAATGGCAAGACGAGAAAAAAATAACACAAGATTTAAAAATCTTCGTATATGTAGAAATGACAATTCAAAACTTACACATATAACCTTGAATAAAAGAATTAGCAAAGCAGAACATCTAACCAAAAAAAAAAAAAAAAAGAAAAAAAGAAAAAAAGAAAAATGAGAGTTAAAAAAATGTTTTTGTTTTAGCTAACGGCAGTGCATAACCCTATGATCTCTAAATCAAAACTGCTTGCACCATTCATATAGTTCAAATGGACATAAAAAACATACGCACATATATTTCTACATACACACACAATGAAAAAACTATGCGTATTGCATAATACCATGAAATATATCTTCCTATCTATAAAACATAAGCTTCATAAAATTGAAACAATTGGAAACTTTAGCTATCCTCAACTAGAGGGCAAGTGTCAATTATTGGATCTCAATTTTAACGAAGTGCCTACCAGATATGGAATATTTGGACATCTTACCATATATCCATGAATAATGCCTAGTACACAAGGCATTATTCACAGAGCCCCTCATTGCGCAGGGGCCCTATATGTATTTTAAAAAAAAAAATTTACATGGGGGTATGTGTGAGGCCTGACAGGGTTCTATATCTATTCAATGAAGTAATAAAGCCTTATTAATCATAATACCAACCGATCTCATAAAGTGGACTCAGAAAATATCAAAATTAGCTTAAAGGAGCAAGGCATTGCACACCAAGGCTGAAAAGTATGAAAGAGCCATATTTTTAAAGCATACATCTTCCCAATTTTACATCTGTTATAGGAAAACCCTTGAATTCCCACACCATCCAACCTAAAGTGGTGGAAACAATTGCATAATAGTCTAACAAGGAATGGTAAGAAATTCACTCCAAATAACAAATCACACTCTAAAGAAACAAATTATCAAAACATCAATTTTCCAATTACAACATGCAAATCACTTCTAATAATCAACATTTCTCATCCATGCTAAGATTGTTAAACAAAATTACATAAAATTAGAAATCTTTAATTGAGAGATACTGATGTCGATATGTAATTACTCAGGGTAAGGAAAAGACAGTGTCATTAGTAAAAAAAAAATGAAAGTAAACAACGTCGTTTATACCTATAATTAAAGACAAAAAAAAAAGAAAAGGAAAAGTCTACATGTACATAATTATTGCACATAATGTTGTCCACAATATGATATATCAGTCATCCAGTTGTTGATGTGAAAGTGTGATATTTTAATTAAAGGTTGGATTCAGTGCCACATGTAATTATGAACACCATTATGTAAACAATTATGTACATGTAGTACTTTTCAAAAAATAAAGGGAAATGACATGGCCCGTTACCTTTTTTGTTGGGACGGGGAAAAAATTTGCTATAATGTGATAAAATGGAACAATTCATTGTTCCTAATTACTATACCTTCCCATTTACTTTTTTATATAGTAGGAGTAAGACCATTTAGATTGTTTAAAAATGAGATTTAATGATATGAAAATTTGAGTATTCTCAGTTATTTGTCCAATTCTTGATAGTCAATAGAATCAATGAGCTTTTGATGACTGGTTTTTGACATTTATAAGTGAATCAAGATGAGCTAGAAGATTGTTCATGATTTTCATGTTCTCATCCTTTCGTATAGGTTAGGTGGTATTAGGGACGGGTTGCTTGTGCTAGTATGTTGCAAATGTGATATCAAAATTGTGAAATACAACTGGAGGATGCCTATGCTTGTGAGTATATGATGAAGATCAAACAAAATTTATTGTTGGCCCAACAAATAGGAATCCAAATACACTTAACTTAGTATGAACTTTTTACACACGAGAGTATAGCTCATGCATGGAATATGCATTAAATATTTTAGTAGTTTTAAGATTTTTACATTTTGATCTGTCTTTTCTCATGTTATTTTTCCAATTAATATCTTAGATTACAATTTTTGTTGTGGTATTTTTCTATTTCCTTATAGAATAGGATTCGTTGCATTGTATAAATGTAACACCCCAAATCTAGGTACCCTAGACTTGGAAGCATAATCATTTGAATTTTCACTTTTATGCATACTTAACTCAAACCTTTAATTTACGATACTCACAGTACCAAAACTTTAAAAAACTCGTATCTAGAATCCAAATTAGCAGAAATCATTAGTTTTTCTATTAGTTGACCAAAAACCAAAGATCTGATCAAATGTTGACTATTCTTTAAAGAACAAAATGGTAAATTTACACTTTTTATATAAAAGCCAAAATAGAATTATCAAATCAAAAAAAAAAAAAAAACACTATTCATCTTCTCCACTCACCCCCACCTCGAAACCAAAAACCACCAAAATCGTTGACACCCACAAAACTCCACTTATCTTGTCATTGCCACCAAAATTGCCAACAAATATCTGTGTTAAGCAACCATCTTCACCAATTAATCCATATTCCTAGCTTCTGAGACAGTATGTAGTCTCAGCTTTTCAATGTCTTCATTGAGGGGATTAAAACATCCAAGCCGAACATCAATAAATTGGGAGTTGGACAAATGATGATTGAGAAGATTAGAGGATGATAATGAAGATGCTTACTTTGCTACTCCAAAAATTTCTTTGATAGTTAAAGAGTTGTCCCTTGAACAAGAGGATAGTTGTACGCAGCAAACCAAAACCTTACCCACAAAGCATTACCATCACCAAAACTATCGACACACTGACGAT